TCGATGATACAAGCACTTCATGAGCCGTGACCGCAATAAGGGTGGCATGTTATGCCGCTCTGCGATGTGCTATAGGGCCTAAGCACTTAAGCGGAATATCCTTGTCCTCGTCTAACATTTGCGCCCTAGCGTTAAAATCCTTGTCCATGTCTAACCTGTCCACCCACCACTGCCTCGAGCATGTCCCTGACATAGCCCGTAAGCGGACTATTGTTAGACTTTGTGAAGGGATAGTAGGAAAGTTATCATCAAGTTGCTCCGTAAAGCGTACCCGCGGTGCATAACGCAAATGTTCTAACAACGACCTATTGTCGATAGTGATGGCTTTAGCCAGTCCTCTATATCCCGGGATCTCCTTATTAACGATGACTAGATTAATTAGCTGTTCTAGTCGTAGTGCTAAGGCATAAAATGTGCTCCTGAGACCTGCAGTTCGCCCAGACATAGTGCCGCCACTTGTCGCCCCTATCTAACGCAGGAATACCTAGTATTAGCTATAAAAAACCCCTTAAATGTCCCTGAAGTATCTATTTCTAATATCCAAAGCAAACATAGCACAGCACATTTCCATCCATTCATTACTTCAAACCAGACACCATAGTTGGAATCTCGGCGCAGCAACGCATGGGACTATCGTCAACTCTTCAGATGGAACTGTATCAACGCCACCATATAATAGCATTTCAACAACCGAACACGCCGCCGCAGATACGACTATTAACGAAGAAACCAATTCTAAAGCTCTAGCTGTTGACACAGAAATAGCAAAAACACTCGACATTTTGCGGCACATGCACAGCGTTATAGGAGCACACATTGTCGAGATTGAGGCAAACATCGCTGCAAGGCGCAGCAAATATTGTCTCGCTCCTATTACATACGCGTCAACTACAAAAGAAGCTGAATTTGCTTCTAGTCTAAGTCGCCGTCAATAGGAGATCTTTTATATAAGTGAGCTCCTTGTTGCACCATCTACTACAATAACAACTGGGCTTAGGAAAAAACCGCGAAAACGTTATCGACACATTGTAGAGCAAGTGGCATTTACAAATCATGGGGGGTAGTACCAAAGGAAGTCAAGGACGCTATGAAAGCGGAGGTAGATACGGAACTTGCAAAATTGAACATCGTCACACCAAGTGACGACATATATCTATGGCGCATGTCCAAGGTATTTCCACAGTCGGGGCGACTAAAGAAAAGAAGGCTAGATTAAGGTTCTGTGTAGATGCTTACGGAGAGCAATTCTATTATGTAGTCCACTTTGCCACACTTCGAGAAAACCTTAATTACATACTAAGTCTATCCATCATTTGCCCTAAAGACTCCATGTTAGGATTCAAAAGTAAGATATTATAGTCGAAGCCATGCGCTGCAGATAAGACCTCCTTCAGGACTATCCTTATGCCCCGCTCCTGCATAGAGCGAACGAACGACCTTGAGCTCGCGATAGGTACTTGTACATCTGAAGTGCCATGTAAAACAAGAAACTCTGTGGTAGTATTCAAGCTTTTTTCTCTTAGAAGGTTAATAGGATAGGATGCGTTCCACAACCTTCCCCATACCTTGAAACATGACGTCTTATACGCTGGCCACATTCCATCCGAAGGAAACCGTCCGACAGCGGGCGGGAGGTCGTAAAGCACGTTCAAAAGACTAAATAAACGAAATAAGCTTATCGCAGCTTTCTTAAAAACCACTTCGCGCTCCATGTATGGCCCGAAGTCGCGGCGGTACTCGTAGAGCAAGGGATATCGTAAATATACGCCCGATATGCGCTGTCCCCATTCCAGATAGATATAGAGACCTAGGAAACCACCAGCACTTTCGCCTGTAAGAACAAGCTTGTGTCTGCACCACCCCAGGCTCGGATAATAAGCCTTGACAAGCGTCTCAATACCGTCCTAGTCAAACAGATATGCCATAGCGTCATAGATATTATTAAGTATGTCTTCACTATTGCATTCTAGCAACCGGCGCCGGTTAAAAGTAATGTAAACGATCGGTCGTGTTTCAATAAGGTCTATCAGGGCTTGTGACTTCCAGGCTGGGTCCCACGGTGAGCCTATTGTCTGCTCTCGATTAGCAAACTTCTTGCGCTTCACACTAAGGTGTTCTTACTATGCCGCCGCCACCTATATCAATAATCACTCCGGCGTCTTTAACATCATGTGGAGATGCGGCAAGGCTTTTCGAGACGCTAATTGAGACCCGGAGGTCTAAAGACGAGCGCACCTCATACCCTTTTACCTTTCGTAAGTAGATATAGCCAAAATAGGAGCGCCAGGTCGGGTAGTGCGAAGAAACGCGTTTGTACGTCTTCTTATGTGTCACAAGCCTATCGAGCCAACGTGCGTTTCGTGCGTTGTGATAGAACTTCAGCTAGAAGTACTCTAGTAGATTAATCGCATCATGAAGGGACTCCCAGTTATCAGACCATGTTTTAATCGATCGCAAAAAACAGTATAGATCTACAACTGTGTAGAAGGCGAGGCCGAGCTCGCTAGAGCAAGAGGATATCACTTGTTCCTGTTAGCTAAGACACAAATTTGACAGAGGAGCTGTTACTAAGCGCAGTGTATAGGAATAACATGTATACTAGCATTAAAGCATTTGTCTGTTGCAAGGTTAGTGGGAAGGGGAGAAGTCTAGGTTAACTTAATGCTATACGCACCGAAACAATTAACACTTTCGTAGCAGCCTGTACTAGAAGCTCGCGTTGTAATCGTAGCTTAGGCCATGTTGCATATATATCCTCGGTATTCGCAACGAATTCGGTAAGCTTTGACATAACCGTGTGAGTATCGCGGGCAAGACTTTGAGCGTCATAGCTATCTCTTCGAAGACATAGTTCTTCGTCAAGGAGCTGCACTGCTTGTGACATGGGTATAGCATGACAAAAGAAGCTGTAGTCGGTCTTTAAGCAATAAAGCACAAACTCTTCGAAGGAGATCAGTGTTGTGACCTAGGTCGCCATCGATGACTGATTCAATAGTTTGCGAATGTAAAAGATCGGTGCTAATAGACTAAAACTTTGGAGGAAAAGAGCAGGGGGATGAAGGAACTAAGGGGGATGCCACTTAGGCCCTGGGGTGATCGGTTCTCTTCATCACCGAGCAGCTAAAGGACGGCTCTCTCGATCGCTGATCGCTACACCCTGTCTTTCGACATTCAGTGGCACTGGGCGATCCTTGTCATTACTGCACTAACTTAAAAGAGACATCCGGACCCTCGAAACGGCATGCTTTCAGAGGCGTAATAACACCTAGGTAGGCTTGGCAACAGGCAAGCTTTGCATGACCAGTTCCCCGGGAGTGTTTAACGAGGACAAACATCCAAGTTGCTATGCTCACCGATGATCCATGGCTTACACGAAGCTCTCTAGGTCTAAGATTTCGCGTTGTCTGGCCTCCGCATGCCGAACAGAAGCACTACATCGATACCAGGCCTAAAGGAAGCTAACCTGTCTAGTCTAGGAATAACCTTGCGAGAGTCGTTGCGGATCTATGCACCATCTGCCACCTTCCTCAAGAAATCAAAAACGAACGACTTTAAAAGCCTCAGCGCATAAGCTCCGTGGCCTCATGGAGCGTCATAGCGCGATCAAGCTCAACCGCTGTCAACAGTCACAACTTTAACCACTTCTCTATCGGCTGTACCTAGGTAGCATGCCTTCTAGCCTCGATGCAGACGATGACCACCGCTCCAGAGGCCTACGACATCCTAACTTGCCCACTATGGCTTCATCGCGACCGAACTCAAATCCATCACAAAGGATATACTCCCGTGAGGGGATTAGGTATAATGGGACATATGCTCGCTGCGGCCATGGACGTTTCGGAGTTGCGACGAAACACACATCACATTCCTTCATTCACGCAAAGAGGCTCTTAAATGGGAAGTATGTAGATGTAAAGAATATCAGCTTAGCCATGGTATACCTAATGTCAATCCAAGCGTGCCGGGACGCATGGTGTAACGGGACACATTCCCTTCCGGGCCTTCGGGTTACTCGCAGCGCACTTGTATGTAAACAAGCGCTATGCGCATCCATTCTGCAGCTCTTGTTCTCCTAACACATTAGTCTCCAACGCCAAAAAGCGCGTGGTGAACTGTGCTGTCGCTAATTCTGTCAACGTTGTCCCCAACTCTCCTCCAACACTCCCCTGTTCGTTCGCGACAGTACATATCTACAAAGATCTCAGTAGGCTTAAAAAGAAGCTAAGATAGCAAAGATTAAGACTGCAGTCTAAGAAAGTTGACTTAGGGTAATATAGGCACATCCCAGCAGTTTCTCCGCGCAGACAGCAAGATCGTCAAAACGCAACCCTCAGGACGTGCGCTGTTAGCGATACTTAGCATGCAGTAGCTTGCAGTAGCGTGCTCAGATCTCGCCGTATGCTATCGTAACAAATTCAGCGCTATTCCTATAGCACTTCGCTGCTAGAAATAGCTGTAGTGCGTGCTAGCAGCTTCTAGAAGCGTGCAAGTCAGCATGCTCTACTATAACGCCCTGTTACCTATCTATGTTATAGTTAGTCGTAACTTCTCTCTAGTAGAGGAAGCTAAGAAAAAGCAAAAACTATCCTATATTTATTAAGTAACGTAACATAACAACAGCTATCCTCTATAGCAGCTCTAGAATCTTCTCTACGCTAACACAAAGACTAAATATTCGTGTGCATCTCTGTCCCTCTCTATTATAGAGAGGATTAGAAAGAAAGAGATAAAGGAAAGAAAACTAGGTCTTTGCATTTATGCAACATACACATACAATTAACCTAAAGGTCTATACTACAAATCTATACTCTTCTAGACCCAACACCTACGCCAACTATAGTCCCACTCACAGACAAGTGCGATAGTCGATACTCTAACGGCACCTATAGCATGTTATTACTAGCATGCTAAATCTATATCCTGTCTAAGCTAACGCCAGTGCCTACGTACAAGGGACGCGCAGGTTCTTTAAGATCTGTTATGCTAAATGTCTCTAAGCTCTAAGTATCGATAGACCCGATTTCAGTAAGGAGGCGAGAACTGTTGCGATCGAACGATAAATGGAAGAGAACTTTGCCAACGTCAAGCGTGTGCACACACGCGCCGGTGCTCGCATCCCACATCTTAACGGTCCTGTCGTGGGACGCTGACGCCAGCCGCGTCGAGTCGTGCGAGAAGGCCACCGAGCTGACTTCATTGCTATGGCCCTTAAGCGTCTGCACACACGCGCCACTGCTCGCATCCCACATCTTAACGGTGCTGTCGTAGGACGCTGACGCCAGCCGCGTCGAGTCGTGCGAGAAGGCCACCAAGCTGACCCAATGGCTATGGCCCTTGAGCGTCTGCACACACGCGCCGGTGCTTGCATCCCACATCTTGACGGTCCTGTCGTAGGACGCTGACGCCAGCCGCGTCGAGTCGTGCGAGAAGGCCACCGAGGTGACTGTACTGCTATGGCCCTCGAGCGTGTGCACACACGCGCCACTGCTCGCATCCCACATCTTAACGGTGCTGTCGTAGGACGCTGACGCCAGCCGCGTCGAGTCGTGCGAGAAGGCCACCAAGCTGACCCAATCGCTATGGCCCTCGAGCGTGTGCAGACACGCGCCGCTGCTCGCATCCCACATCTTAACGGTGCTGTCGCCGGACGCAGAGGCCAGCCGCGTCGAGTCGGGCGAGAAGACCACCAAGGTGACTGTACTGCTATGGCCCTCGAGCGTCTGCAGACACGCACTCCATTCCTCGCTTAGAGTTGGCCTAATGCTGATTGCTTCTAGCTCTTCGTGCTTAAACAGCTGTCTGACGAGACTACCTGTCGGGCTAAACAGCAATGCGGATGCATAGGTCTGAAGAGGGTAGCCCTCAATTGCGCCTTTGTGGTACATGATAAACCGCCGTGCGTCTTAAACAAGCTTAGCAAGTCTGTCTTAGTCGCACATCTCCTGCTAGTGTTAGCATTAGAGTTAAATTAAAGGTACATAAATCTCGTGCGACACACCTGCATAAGTGACCATAGTTTTTCCATAGAGACGACGCCTTTCCCTACGCTGTGACACAGACTAAGCGCTTCTAGCCAGTAAAGATACTTCTCCCTCAGAAAGTTATACACGGCTCTCATAGGGAGGCCAGCAACACTGTTTGCCCAAGATTCAGGCTTAGAGTCGTGCAGATGATCGATCCAGTAGACGCACGGGTAGCGCGATGCTGCTAAAGGGTCCGCATGCGGTGGTTCGACGTTCTCAATAGCGCTTCCGAGCGATTTCAAGCTGTACATATCTCTATGCAACGTCGTAGACAGATACGCCAGCGATGTCAAAAAGACACCCCGATGGACGTCTTCCGCACCGTTTGGAAAGACCTCGTGAGCCGCCTTTTCGAAGAGGAAGTCCTTAGCAGATTGATGCACAAAGTACACTGTGTCTTCGCGGACGGTCAGGAACGATCCACAAAGGTCGATGATTTCTCGCACGTCACTGCTAACATCCTTAAGCTGCTCGACGAGTTCGACTAGTTCACGAATGGTCACGGGTCGATACAAAACCGCGGTCGAAGCTAGTACGCAGCGACAGATGTCGGCGTCGTCCGACTCGCTCATCTGCTGCATCATCCGCTTGTACAAGTCGTCTAGCCCAGGCGGGAACACGGCTAACTTCTTCAGCACATGCCGATTCGCCGTCCTCTTAAGTTCTTGGCACACCAACGCAACCCAAAGGAAGGTGCCGTTCGCGTTCGTCGTTAAGTGCTGGCGCACGGCGTCTTGAACCTCTGCCTTATACTGCTTCTCTTGCGCCAGCTGATCCACCTTTCGCTGTATGAAGATGTCAACTGCGGCCGCAACCGACTCTGCGTTTAGCTCGAGGCTTAGTTTTTCTTTGTGCCCTGCCCGCTCTAGCTGCGCTTCGATGTCTGGCCAGTTGCGACTAGAAATAATCCATTTGACATGAGAAGATACCGATGACTGCTTTGCGACAAACTCTAGCAGCATGGGTAGATCAGTGATGCACTCATCTAGCGCGTCAATGATTAGGTATGTCATCCTTAGGCTTGGATCTTGGAGCACAGCCTCGAAGACCTCTACCAAGACTACCCAGGCATTCGCGTCTTCGAACATGGCTTTGCCGGCGTGGTCGTGCTTCGTGCGGATGTGTGATGCAAGCGATGGTTGCTGAGTTACAAGCATGTACAACAGCCCTCGCAGCACGGCCGTGGCGCCATTAATGCGCGCGTCGGTTGCTTGGCAGAAGAAGTGTGAGACCGTAGCGTTTTTTGTTGCCTTCTGTAGTTCGTTGATAATGCCGCACACCAGCATCGTCTTGCCTTTACCAGGATCACCTTTTATCTATAGTAATCGGCTGTGCGTGTCCTGCTGCCATTGTTGGAATGTAGTGTTATCGAGGACCCAGCGGTACGAGTCTGCTAGCAGTCCGCCTTTGGTCTCCTCGATACGCTTCTTGTCCTTACGAGGGTCGGTAGCATATAAGTCCCGAAGACACTCTTCCTGCTTCCGACGGCACTCTCCTTGCTCACGGATCTTGTCATGAAGCCGTCTGAACGCTTCCTCTCCGCCTTCGCCATATACAGGCGCAATGTCTACGTCGAAGATGCCAGACAATGAGTACGCTGCATCCTCTTTGAGCTTTGTGTGCCGGTTCTGTCTCCATCGAAGCCGCTCTTCGACGCTAAATTGAGAGAGAGGCGCCCCCTCGAGCGCTTCGTATGGGATCGCTGTAACTTCGTGGATTTCGGACTTTAGCGATATCTTATCACCGAGTTTGCACCATTCGCGCGAGAAGAACTCGACCACGCTGGGTGCGAGAAGCTCCTGGAGCGTCCAGCCTCGGGTGAACCATCTGCTTCGCTGAAGCTTAGATTCACAAGCTTGCGGGCTCCAAACATCTGACAAGGTGAAGAAGCGCCGAATCGTGCTAGGATGCCAGCGGAGTATAGGTTGAACGACTAGGAATATCCAGATCCAAGTAAACCATCGGCTTATCTGCAGATCGGATCGATGCACGCTGCGCTCTAGGTTGGTGTTCGAAGCTTGGCTCGAGACATCCGACAGATAAACATAACATCGAGCCGAATCGCGGTACCAGCGGAACATGGAGTCGATGGCCAGCGAGAGCTCAGCTTGGTTTTCTTTGTTGATGCAGCAGGTATCGATCCAGAAGTACTCCAGCCCATCTCTTGAAGCTTGTTCTCCGCAGAAACGGATCTTCTTATAGCCAGGCTTGTCCTTGCCACTACTCTTCGTAAGGTCCGTGAAGGTCACCTCCTCTGTGTCCGTTCCCCATGTATGCGAAAGTATGGCGTAGGGGGGTATCGCGTTATCGTCGAAGCTGGCGAAGGTAAGGCGGCCATCGTCTTCGTACTTTAGAAGCCGCATCGACTCGTGTAGGTGTGTGGTAAGCGCGCAACGGAAACAAGACAATGCTGAATGCGGCAGCCTGATGGAAGTGCAGCAATTGACTCTCCTACACCTTTTCTAGTATAGCTTACAGAAGGGAGGGCAAAGAGCCAGCACAGTACCAAGGTGGGCAGGTCTGTAGCAGAATGCAAGCTGCAGCAGTATAGGATCTAGAGGGATCGCCTGTTGTTGCACTCTCGGTGTGGTAAGGGCGTCGCATCAGGCTGGAGGCGGGGAAGGCGTGGCTGAACGTACGCGCAGCACGTCAGCTGCAAGGCTATCCTGCAGCGTTCAGAGTGGCATCTCTAAGACGACAGATGGACCTGTTAGCGCTATGCGCAGAGTGGCAGAGCCGAGCTGCCTGCATCATGATTAATTAGTGAGAAAGAGAGAAGTGCCTAAGCGCACAGCGGGTGGGCGAGGGCAGACGCTTGACAGCCGGTACACGCCACAGTTATTCTTAGCAGTCTACCCGCTGCAGGCAAAGCGTCGAATTCATTACAACACGGAGTAT